TCAATTCTTTAAAAGCTTCATTTATATTGATATTGTCTTGGAATTTCCTGTAGACTGCCTCAGATAAAATAATTCCCAGCCGAATCTTCATCTTGTCTGCTCTCTACTTTGACATTATGCCTTCAAAATCAAATCTTATTATTTAATCCAAAACAAAAACACTTTATTACAGAATATTAAATCAATAACATTAACAGACTGACCTTGGTAATTCATTTTACCATGATTGATAAGCCAATATTTAAACTTTGACTACTGATACTCAAAGCTTTGCAAATTTATTCCAGACTATTCATAATTGAACAAGATATCCTAACCGCCTCACAGAGAAATCACTATCCAACTACTTTGAGTCTTAGGCCAAGTCAATACTTTACTTTCTCATTTTTCAAATAAACTTACAGCCAAAATTACAATACGACTGATTGTAAAGGCCAAACATTTTACCTTCCTCTGTTTCATTCCCATCATCTTCCTGAGTTGGTGCCTGTGAAAATATGCTAAGCCCAAAATAGCAGTTGTGCACTGCCAATTCAGCCTCAGTCATTTCCAAGCCAAAGGGGAATTGACAGAAACCCCCTTTACAAGTCTAGTGTTTGTAAATATCCAATGAAATTACTTCATCCAGTCAATTATTTCTGGAGAAAGCTGGCAGAATAACATGGTAATTAAACTGAGGACTGGTGGAAACTGTTAAACAGGAGAGGTATTTTGCTGAGCAGTTCTAGTTAATGCTTTTAATGCATTTTCACTTTAAAAAAAAAAGCTTGAGATACTAGTACAATTAAAAAGGAATTGCCTCTTCATATAGATCAATGGAACAGAAGAGAGAACCAAGAAATCGACTCAAACCACTATGCTCAATTAATATTTGACAAAGGAAGCAAGAGCATACAATGGAGCAGAGATAGTCTCTTCAATAGATGTTGTTGAGAAAAGTGGATACAGGCAAAAAAAAAACAAACAAAAAAACTAGACCACCAACTTACACCATACACAAGAATAAACTCAAAATTGATAAAAGACTTAAATGTAAGATACGAAACCATAAAAGTCCTAGAAGAAACCATAGGCACCATAATCTCAGACATCTCTCATAACAATATGTTTACCGATACATCTCTTAGGACGATGGAAACTAAGGAGAAAATAAACAAATGAAACTACATGCAAATAAAAAGCTTCTGCACTCCAAAGAAATCATCAAGAAAATAACAAGAGAGGCCATTACATGGGAGAACATATTTGCCAATGATACATCTGATAAGGGGTTAATCTCGAAAATATATAGGGAACTCATACAGCTTAACAAAAGGAAGACAAACAATTCAATTAAAAAATGGGCAAAGGACCTCCAAAATGGACATACGGAAAGCCAAGAGACATATGAAAAAAATGCTCAAAGTCACTAATCATCTGAGAGTTGCAGGTCAAAATGACAATGAGATATCACCTCACATCTGTCAGAATGGCTAGCAACAAATCAACAAACGACAAGTGTTGGCAAGGTTGTAGAGAAAAGGGAACCCTAGTACACTGCTGGTGGGAATGCAGACTGGTGCAGCCATTATGGAAAACAGTATGGAGTTTCCTCAAAAAATTAAAAATGGAGCTCCCATTTGACCCAATGATCCCAATTCTAGGAATATATCCTAAGAAACCTGAAACATCAGAAAGAATATATGCACCCCTTATGTTCACAGCAGCACAATTTACAATAACTAAGATTTGGAAACAGCACTTAGGCTGAGGTACATGTACACAATGGAATACTATGTGCCAATAAAAAAGAAAGAACTCTTACCATCTGCAACAGCATGGATGGACCTGGAGAGTATTATGCTAAGTGAAATAAGCCAGTCAGAGAAAGGTAAGTATCACATGATTTCACTCATGTGTGGAATCTAATTAACCAAATAAATGGATGTACAAAATTAGACCCAGAAGCATGAACAGACTGTTGAACCTCAGAGGGAAGGCAGGGGAGGGTGGGTGGGAAGAGATCAACCAACGAACTTGTATGCATATATGCATAACCCGTGGACAGAGAAAAATGAATGGGGTAGTGAGGGGGGGTTGGGGGAGGAATACGGGAGTGGGCTGGAAGAGGTTAATGGGAGAAAAAGGGGGACCTATTTAATACTTTCAACAATAAGGATTTTTTAAAAAAGGAATTGCCTCTTCACTGGGAAATATATTTTAAAAACTTCAGTGAAGATTGTGCATGGAAAAGGAAGGAGAAACTCAGTTTTTCAGTATCTTCTTAGAGTCAGAATTTATTTTAAGTATGATGAATTCTGAAATCAAAACACAACTGTATCCAAATGTAAGTAGAAAAGACATCCTAAAGCCAGAACATCATGCAGTGAAGACCCAAGTGCCTGTGTGCTAGGCATTCACTGTCTGTGGCATATTTTTGCCCTATCCAACTTTCCCATTGGCTCCTCCAATGGGCAACCCTTTCCTTCCTTCATTCAAAAAGCTGAACCCCTCAGGCATTGGTCTAGTTATGTCTGCTGTAGCCATAAACAAAAATACTTTACCACATACTTCTCCCAGGTGCCCAATGGTTATGCACGAGGAGACAGAGCAAAGTTCTCAAAGTAACAAACTGGAATCCAAAAGCTGATAGGAAAATCTTTAAGGCTTCCCAAAGTAAAATACAAGCTGTTGCTTGTATCACTTCCTTTTTCAAAGACTCCTGCATACAAATAAACACCATCTTTCCTAGTGGATAGAAAGGTTACAGAAAAAGGGGGAAACTTTCAGGCTGTTAATGGAATAAGAGAAGTTGCTGGAAAGTTCCAAGGTGGAGTAAAATTGGGTGAGTTAATGACTAAAAACAGCTTCTGTTACACTTCACAAATACTTCTCATTTCTCTTTGTCAGAATACACGATATTTCACTTATGAAAGATTCCACTGGATGAGAAAGCACCATCTTTTAAAAATGCAAATAACTCGGGGTGTAAAGTTAAGAACTGTCAGTCATTCACACTCTGCTCGTATGAGCTACACAAGAACTTCAAGGAATGTTTGCCAGGGGAATACTATAAAACCAGAATGGCAGGGCAGTTAAGATCTCAGATTCTAGAGATGTACTGCCTGAGTCTGAGTCCTAGCTGCATTCCTCGCAAGCTAGGCAAGTTTGCACAACCAGAAAACTAACACCTGAGGCCTGTGTCTTATAAGGGGGTGAGATCCAAATTTATATCACAAGTTGAAAAAAATGACCTTAAATCTGGTTTAAAGCAACTGAAATTTCCAGAGCCCAGGAAAACCAACCTGTAGAGACAATCTCTCAACCCAAGGTACAGAGAACTCTCACAGAACAAAGAACTTTTTTGAATTTAATCTCCCAACAAAATATTATACACCATTTGGAGAAACCCATTCCCCCTGAGAGCCAACAGACTTAGAACCTTGCAAACTACAAATTACAATTTTACACAAATGTTATCTTTTACTATAATCTTGCTCATGCTTTTGTTCTCATTCAGGGCTAACAAAACCTTTAAAAATACCTTAATACTGTATCCACGTCTATTAAGACTATTGGTAATTCTGGAAATTCACCCCTTGAGCTAAAGAAAATCCATGTATAAAATGTAACATGGGGCATACAACGTGGTTCATTTTTACTAGATGAATTAGACGGCCGGAATCTATAAATGGGAAACTGAATTAACTACCAGACTGCTACCCATCCCCATCTATTACTTTGAAGCTCATCTATATCTTACATTAATAGTTTACATTTAAAAAAACTGGATTAATGTCTCCTCCAATCCTTTTGAGTGGCATTAAAAATCTTAAATTTGGGGGAAATGAGTCCACATTTAAAAAGAAGCGCTTGTGCCCCTAGAGCTCAGAAACCACTTTTAAATTTAAAAGCTCCAAGTTTATAAGGGGAAATTCCTTTCCCTTCTGACCACCTATCTAAATCTGAAATACTTATTTCAACCCTTTTCTTTGTGTGGTAGTTTCAATCTACTTCATTTCTATTTGTCTAAAAATATTGACACATTAGTGTCGAAAGTCTCTTTGGCTTACATTTGACATCTTAAAATGTTTGCCAAAATAAACATATTTTATTTAAAATTGCTAAATATAAGAGAAATATGGAAAATGTAATAACTGGTCTTTTAATCACCCTATGTGTTTTTTCCAACGCTTGCATCTTTTAATCTTCGAAATGTTACTAAACATGAGCATACGGGAGCCCGGAGAGGTCAAGTGTCCGACGTAGAACCAGAACCATGAAAGCGGGACTTCAGGCTGGGGGAGCCTCAGGAATGTTTGCCCACCCTCCGGGGCTGTTTCCCATTGCCTTCTCGAACCATAAAAACAGAAGAGGCCATTTCTAACGGGGGAAATGTGGACATCTCTTAGGAGAAAGGTTGCAGAATAGCAAGAATAATTCATAAAATATCAAGGACACAACCCAGTCCACAGACCTCGGAGACGCTACAGAGACCTTGTTAAATGTCTCTGCTCCCTTTCCACTAATTAAACCCCAGTTCTCCGAAATGTACCTTCATAATTAAACACCTAAACCTGAACATTCTCTCGAGTCAACCTGCAGGGCAATTTCAGCGAAGTTTGGAAAGGAACCGCTACAACAAGCCACAGAGCACACACCTCGAGACCACTAGGTAGAGGGCTCCGCCCCAGTGAACTGAACGAGGACCCCTCTCCCCACCCCCAGGTAGTTTTGTCCGCCCTTTCGCGCCACCGACTCGTAGCCACTTCCTAACTGCCTGTTTATCTCCACCCTGACCCCCCTTGATATCTGTCCCCTTATCTGTTGAAGTTATTAACCAAACGATGATAAGATACGGGAGAGAGAGAAGAGTCAGCTCAGGGAAAAGGAATGTCTGCGTAGCCAAGATTTCCTTAGGCAGTTTGTCCGGCACCGCCGTGGGCAGCCTTAGACGGAAGAGGGGGCCTTGGGTCCAAAGCTCGACGCACCGATTGGTTGATCGGCCGCCGCCGGGAAGAACCCGGATGTGCCTGAGTAGTCCGTGTTGGCACTTGGGACTCTCAAGTTTGGGCATTCTAGGGGTGCTGGCAGCCCGGACGGATGGCGCAGGGCTGGGCTGGCTTCTCTGAGGAGGAACTGAGGCGACTAAAGCAGAGTAAAGGTAACAGGACGTGCCGGCGGAGATTGAAATCTTGGGTCTGTTAGGAGAAGGGGCGGGGCTGCTGCTTTTGAGGGGAAGGGGGCGGGGAAGGGGATAAGGTGTTTGTGTTGGGGGATGGATCTGTAAATGGGAAGACAGAATTGAGGGGCTCCGGAAGTGGACGAACTGGGAGCCATGGGGGTGCTCAGGGGCCTGGGATCTACTTTTAGAAAAGAGAGGTCAGGGATCCATTGCAGGGTTTGTTTGTTTTTTCCTGGGAAAGGAATGGGACCTGGGAGAGGGGGCTGGGCCTATAGCCTGGCGGGCTCATATAGGAAGATTGCGGTGTAGATCCATGGGTGGAGAGTAAAGGAAGGAGGAGGGTCACTCACCATATTAGAATTGTGATGAATTTATGAGCAAAGGGGAACACGGGGGTCTTAATGCAAAACGTCGGTGCTTTTCATAATACATCTGGAGTCTTGCATTCACTTCTGGTTGCCAGATGATTTTTGCTGTTCTTTCCAACCCAGAGAGTCAGCAAACCAAAGGGGTCTTTGAGAGGTTAGATGTGATATAAATAAGTATATATACATATATATGTGTGTATATATATGTGTGTGTGTGTGTGTATAGACAGACATATATATATATATATATATATATAGACACACATATATACACACAAATATATATGTATATATATGTGTGTGTGTATATATATATATACACATATATGTATATGATATCCAGAATTTTGTCATTCCCTCTCTGGCTTTATAGAGTAATCGCTGAATGGACTTGTACTATTTTGTTATCTTTTAGTAAAGGAATTAAGTTTGTTGATACATGGTGAGAACTCTTGGTGATATAAACGAGGCTTTGTTGGTGGTTGAAGTTTCATAAAATTCTGTTTGGTGATCCCGGTAATGCACACAACTTCTGTGAGTTTCTACTCTTGGTACACAGCTTACTGTACTTTGGGGAAAAATGAAAACCCTGTCATACCTTTTATTAGAGTTTTTTTTAGAAAATTGCATGTCGCTCAGATAGGCCTCTGCATTTTTTAGTATAGATGTGAGGACACTCTAGGATTGACAATCAGAAAAGGAAGTAAATTAGTAACATAGGGCCAGTGAAGATTAAATAGATTGAGGAAAATTTGACTGGTCTAAAGGGTTTTAAAAACTATATCATGAAAGTCATACTACAGTGTTTAATTAGCTGACTCTATCTTGCTTGATGTTATCAAATTCTCTTGCTCTGTGTTTTCAACATCCATTCACTTATTCAGATGTACAGTGTGCAAATATGTCTGCTTCTTGTCTGACCTGAAGTTAAAGACATCGGCTTCTGCATTTAGGATGCAAAGATGAACATGGCCTCATCCCTGCCTCCAAAGAGTTTCTAGTCTACTGAGGAGACAAACTATAAAAAATGTGATAGTAGATGTTGTTCAAGAGCTTGCTACCTCTGAGCAGGAACCTCACACTGCTGGGGGTTGGGTGCACTTTGGGAAGATATCACAGAGATTATGTGTTAGGAGAGGTGACTTTGCTGGGGGAAAGAAGACTTCATGTACAAGTCTAAATTAAATAACAGATTGATTATGTAGAAGAACATTTTTAAATAGCTCTGCAATTTCAGATAGAGTGGGAGGACCTTAATTTCAAAGCATATCATTTCATAGCCAGATGTTAGAACATAGACACCAACTGACTGGTCTGTGATCCTTGAAGAAGAGAAAAGATGCGTCTTTGCATACGTATAGCATCTTTGTGTACTCATAACCAAACACAGTAATTGTCAGATCATCTAGCTCTGCATCTGAATCTTTTTGCCTTGGATTTCTCATTTGTAAAGCTGGAAGAGCTGGATCTTTACTTTTTAAGGTTTCTTCCAACTATTCTCCAGCCATAAAAATATAATTAAATAACCTATGAAAATGAAGTTGGTTGCCAGCAAAAATAAGGATAACAACGCTAGCAAAACCCATATGTGCAATGGTGGAGATTGAGAATGTTCTCAACACTCTTCATTATAATATTGAAAATCTGGGACTAAACCAAGTGTTCATTAACAAGGAAGTGGATAAATAAATTGTGGTATAATCATCCAGAGAACTACTATATAGCTAGTAGGAATATATGAACACATGCATTAACACGTATAACTTTCATAAATACAATGTATGAAAAGAGCAAGTTGCAGGAGAATGTATAGTCTGATACCATTTATGGAAGGTCAAAATCATATAAAGCCTGTATATTTTAGGAATATAGGAGCTCTATAAAGAAAGTCAAGGGAATGAAACACAAAATTCAGGGTTGGGGGAAGCAAGGAGTGGAACATAGGAAGCTTCAAAGGTAGTGGTACTTATGAAATTAATTACCAACTTAAGCGGCAGTAATAAATAGCCCTAACATATCAATTGTGTAAAAAAATAAAGGTTTTAAAAAATTTTTATTCCAGCTTTCTGTCTAACATGGGTTGGCAGGTGACTCTACTCCATATAGTCATTCCACACAATGCCTTGGTACTGTCCTATAGGAGTTCACCATGGCAAGAGAAGATTGAGAAGTAAGCATTGGCAATAAATACTTCCACCAATAAATGACATGTGTCACTTCTATTTCATTTAACAAAAGCAAGTCATATGACTTGCAAGACAGGAAATACAGTTATTGTGTGTGTTCCAAAAAGGGGGTAATGCTCTATCCTTAAACAGCAATTATATCTACTGTAGCCATGTTTTATTTGTTAAACTGTGTTGTATTTTTATAATCCATACTGGATGGAGTTTGTGTGTGTGTGTGTGTGTGTGTGTGTGTGAGAGAGAGAGAGAGAGAGAGAGAGAGAGAGAGAGAGAGAGACATTATAGGATGTATGACTTATTTCATAACTAGAGGCCAGGTGCACAAAATTTGTGCACCAGGGGGAGGGGCAGAGGAGTCCCTCAGCCCGGCCTGTGCCCTCTCGCAATCCGGGACCCCTCAGGGGATGTCTGACTGCTGGTTTACAGGCCTAAACCGGCAGTCAGGTATACCTCTCGAAATCCAGGACGCTGCATGCACCAGTGACCATACTTTTCATACAGGTGAAAGGCATCTTGCTGTTGTATGGGCAGCTACATTTTTTTGCCCTGATTATAAAAGGTAGTATATAACATGATCCTTCTAAGGCAGTAGTACCATTTTCCCCATCTTATGGGTGGAAAAACTGAAGCAGAGAGAAGTTGAGTAATTGACTTTGTCACAGTTATAAGTGTCAGAATCAGGGCTGACCACAAAATGTGCAAGCCAGAGTCCATGCATGTCATCGCTGCATCATCCTGTTTTTCAGTGTTAGAGTAGCCTTGCCAGGTTTTAATTTTTAAATCTAAGAGACTGTTCTCAATATATAGGGTAGGGTCCCTAGGACTGGCCGACAATCAGGGCCGATCTGTGGGGCAACTGGTGGGGCAATCGGGGAGCCCCTGCTGGCACCTGCCTTGGCTGGCCTGGCACCGCCCACACTCTGGCACCCCCTCCGCCCACCAGTTGTTCTGCAGGTTGTTCCACTGATCGGTCGATTTGCATATTAGGGTTTTATATAGATAGATGAAAAATTTGGAAATATAAAAGCAGTGCAGCTACAATGCTTTATGTTTTCCAGTTGTTGCTGATATATAAAAATACAAATAAGCCAAAGAAAAACTGACAAAAAAGACATGAAAAGGAAATATGAAGAGATGCTTATCACCATCAATAAGCAGAGAATTGCAAATCAAGAGCATAATGAAATACTGCTTCATACCCATTTGACTGACAGAAATTTAAAAGTCCTTTATCAGATGTGTCTGTTGCAGTGAGTTTTCTCACTCCCTTTTGCACAGCAGAAGTTTTTAATTTTAATGAAGTCCAGCTTACCAAATATCTTCTTCATAGATAGTGCCTTTGGTGTTGTATCTAAAAAGTCATTGCCATACCTAAGGCCATCTAGGTTTTCTCCTATATTCTAGGCACTTTATAGTTTTGAATTTTGCATTTAGGTCTTTGATTTATTTTGAGTTAATGTTTGTGCAGGGTGTAAGGTCTATGTCTGGATTCATTTTCTTACATGTGGATGTCCAGTTGTTCCAGGACCATTTGTTGAAATGAAATGTCTCCATTGTACTACCTTTGCTCCTTTGTCAAAGAGCAGTTGACTGTATTTATGTGAGCCTGTTTCTGGGCTCTCTATTCTGTTCCATTGGTTTGTCTATTCTTTTGCTAATAACCTACTGTCTTGATTACGGTAGCTTTAGAGTGTCAGTCCTCCCAACTTTATTCTTCAATATTGTGTAGCTATTCTGGGTCTTTTGCCTCTTTGTATAAGCTTGAGAATCACTTTGTCAATATCCACAAAATAATTTGCTGGGATTTTTATTGTTATTTCAATGAATCTATAGATCAAGTTGTGATGAACTGACATCTTGACATTATTGAGTCTTCATATCCATTTATTTAGTTCCTTGATTTCATTCATCAGAGTTTTGTAGTTTTTCTCATATAGCTCTTGTACATATTGTGTTAGACTTATACCTAAGTATTTTTTTGAGTGCTATGTAAATGGTATTGTATTTTTAATTTCAAATTCCACTTGTACATAGAAAAGCAATTGACTTTGGTATATTACTCTTGTATTCTGCAACCTTCCTATAATGGCTTATTGGCTTATTAGTTCCAGGAGTTTTTTGGTCATATGTTTTATTTTTAAGTGGCCTGATTTTTTTGTTGTTTGAGAGTTTTAAATCATATAGTGGGTTCTGTGAAAATGCAAAATGAAATGGAAGCTAACGTACAGAATTTGAGTGTCACTATTAATTCAGCTGAAGAGTATAACTGGGAAGTAAGCAAACTCAATCATATTTTCTGGTGGTGTGAATAAAGATCAGTAGCCAAGAATAAGTTCCTATTCCAAGATTCAGGAGGCTACTCTATGTTTCTGGCTAAAGTCAACAACAATAACATTTTACTTTAAATAGTACAGCTATTTTTAAAAAATGTTTTCTTTACCCGTCTCATTAAATCTTTACACCAACTCCATATGAGTTAAGTGGAGAGGTAATTTTCAACCAGTTTGACAGATAAGGAAACTGAGGTATGGAATAAATAATTGCTTGAACTAAACAAAAGCAACTCTGGAACTGTGACTCCAGAGCTTTGAACTCTCCCTTGGAGAATCTAAATAATAAGTTTGTATTGCTTCAAAGGTCAATATGCAGAATTTAAAAGCCCTATTTGAGTTCATTTACAAGGACTTATAATTTCATTTCCTGGGTATTTTATAAAGAATATCATTTTAAAATTTATTAAATATAGTATGAATGTGAGTTAAATTCTCCAGTTATCTTCCCTATAAGGTTAATACTAATATGGACTATATAAAAAGTGTAATAGAAGTATTATTACTCAGTTTATAATATGACTTGTTTTATCTTCCTCTATTGCTTTGATCAGGCTGCTATTAAAGTTAGGTTGCATACATTGATTAAAGTCTAACTAGACTTTGGGGAACACAACCTTGGACTTCTGGAAGATGAAAGAAAACAATTTAGGGTAAACTAGAAATAAGGGACTTCATGTAGTTATATTTTGTGTATAGCATCTTCTTATGTATCAGATTGCCTTAATATCTGTGAAAATTTAAGAAAGGTGAAGCTCATTTGAAAATTCAACCACCATTTTATTTCAGGAGAGTAGCCACAACCGTAAATCAAATTGAAGATATATCAGAGAATTCATTTGTCTCTGTATCTTGGTCAAATAGGTGATACTTTTGATAATAATCAGATCAAGTTGAAAAGCCTTGTTTTGTATTCTAAGGCCTTACTCACAGATAAATAGCTCTCCTTGAAGATAAATTGAGAGGTAGGACAGTTTTTGTTAAATGTTAACAGTAGATTGAAGAACTATCTAAACTCTGCAGGAAGATGCTGTTTTTCCCTGGGCTTTTAAGCTAGAGCAGGGGGATTATTAAAAAGTTTAATGTTAATCCTTTATTTTCTTAGAGAAATTATAATTATTTGCTGTTCACACAAAGGAATTTTCCTTCATTTTCTTTTATGTAGATCCATTTGAACCACAGCGGCGTCCCCCTATGAAGAAAAGTCGACAACAACTTCAGCGAGAAAAAGTCCTTCAAGAGCAAAGCCAAAAACTTGGACTGCAAGATGGATCAGTCAGATTACCTCCAGAGCAGCTGCTCTCTGCACCACAACAGAGATTCAGTCATCAAAAGCCACATTTTTCTCCCCCTACTGCTCCTAATCCTCTTACACTCAACTCTCCTGTTGGCAATGGAAAACCACAGGGCACTGAAAGTCAACCACGGGAACTGGGACTTGAGAATTCCCGGGATGGTCACATAAGTGCTGAGGTTGTACCTCTAAAACCAGATTGCAAATTGGAGAAAAAGAAAGTGGAATTGTTAGTAAGTCTATATATCCATGATATATTTTCCATTTTACTTTTTTTTCCTATTAGGCTTTGAAGAAATGTAGTTTTAACATTTTCTCTCTTTCATATTCTAACCTAGAAATGTGATAAACAAATTGTCAAAAAAGAGCTACTACCTAAATATATTATAAGTCAGTCAGTGTTAGGCATTTTATGTTCAATGTTACTTAGTTCATTATTTTCACTTTGTAGCTATTTTGGACTTAGAATAGCTATTGTGTTCTCAAAGCCAATACACAACTAGTAGGTAGTAGAGTTGGGACTCACATAAAAGTCTCTCTGAATCCAGAGTCTATAACCTTGACACTCACAGAAGCATTTCTTATATGTACTCCTTCCCAAATTTAATGCATTCTTCAACTTCCAGGCTGCATCTTCATTGGCCCAGAAAAGGATACTTGTGAAGAGACATGTAGGGATGGTCAGAGGAAAGAGTGTAGGAAATTAAGGGGACTAATTAAATAATCCACATGCGTCATTAGATTTCTTTTTATTCTTATTTAATTTGTTTGTGTTTGCAACCACCTCCAGAATTTAGTTTAGCCACATTCTTGTGAAAATTGCCATTCTATGACTTGTAAATTCATATAATCATATGTTATTTACTTTGACAGGAGATGTTTAGCTGTGTGAATTATGAGAGCAAAATTGAACATGTGCATACATTCAAATAGTTTACCAACAAAGGCCTGAGACAAATAGGGGGCGGGTTTGAATTGAGCCGGGCAATTTAGATTGCATGTCATGAGGAAAATTATTCTTTTCTTAGGTACTTGGGAGAATTTTCATTGAAGACATGCAATGTCAGAAACTATTGTTGAAAAGGAGGAATTCTGAGGCTCTAAGAACGGGAAAGGAAAGCTTTATTCCAGAGACTGTTCAGAAATGATATCTCACTCCTATGGAAGAGGCAAAGATCAGGCCAGAGAATAGTAAAGAATTAAGAAAGAGAAAAAGGACTTGGGAATAGAGGATCCTTGCCTAGCAAGTTCCCAGATGCTGTAGTACAGTGGCCGTCAACCGGTGGTCCGCGGACCACTGGTGGTCTGTGAGGTCTGAAAGGTTGGTGACCGCTGCTGTAGTAGACCACCGAGCCCTCTGAAGGAGAGAGGCCCTGATCAGAATAATGGTGAGAAAATGTTCAGGTGTCAGTGTTGCAGAATATTTGGGATAGGGTTCTCGCTGAGCTGAAACTAAGGCATCTGGTGAGGAGGTGACTGCGATAATAAAAATGAGAAAGGACCAGCACTAAGATAGAAGTTGTAGGAATGGAGAGAAGGATAATTGTGGAAGTGATTGCTAAGTCTGGGAATAGATATTTTTGGTATACGGCTGTAAGAAATGTCAACAATAGGAACAAATAGCTTTTTCATTATCTTGTTTAATTTGAGTTGACATCAAGTTGATGAATTTATGGGAAATTTTAATATACTTCTTTCAGAATTAGATTGGAAGACAATTCATGTTTTCAGACCTTTGAAGTTTTTCTTTATCCCACCATTCAAGTCTTAGTTCATAGTTTTTTACTTTGTTTACAAATGTTTAAGAGCTGGAAAGAAGTGAGCAAATTGAAAGAAAATGAATGAAATAAACATTGGTTATTGTTCTAAGGGTGTTTCATGGTGCAGACTTTTATTATAGAAAACTCTATAGAGTCACTTCTGGGTAAGATGGCAGAGTAAGTAAATGCTGTGCTCACCAGCTCCCACAACCACATCAAACTTACGGCTAAGTTATAGAACAACCACCCTCGAGAACCACCTGAAAACTAGCTGAACAGCCCACCAGTGGTTAAGCATTGACCTATGAACCAGGAGGTCATGGTTTGGTTCTGGTCAGGGCATATGCCGAGGTTGCAGGCTCGATCCTCAATGTGGTGTGTGCAGGAAGTGGCCAATCACTGTTTCTCTCTCATCGTTGATGTTTCTATCTCTTCCCTCTCCCTTCCTCTCTGAAATCAATAAAAATATATTTAAAAAAAAAAAGAAAATGAACTGAACCGAACTCCTCTAACTAAAGATAACAAAGAGAAAGACTGGTAGGAGGGACATACAGAGCAGGCAGGTCCCACACTCATGGTGTGGCGATAAGATTCAGGAGGGCTATCTTGGCTGTGAGAGTTCCTTATTGAGTTAGGGGTCCTAACCCTAGGCCATCTCTCAAGCCCAGGGCATCAGTGCTGAGAAGAGGAGTCCCCACAACATCTGGCTGTGAAAATCACCAGGGATTGCACCCTTGTGAGACGGAGGGCTGCTGGAGGCCCAGGCTTTCTTCTTGAGGAGTCTGTGCATGGAGTTACTCACAAACTCCAAGGAGTAAGTGAATTGCCCAGTTTCAAATGAGGATTGGAAGGACAGGGGCCAGCTCGCTCTGGGGACAGAAACACTGGCAGGTGCCATCGTTCCTTTGTTGAGCCCAGCACATACGGGTACCAATCTAAGGTATCACCGTTCGCCCCACCCTGGTGAATCCCTGAGACCTCACCTCACTCAACTCATGGACTGCCTCAGCTCATACTGTGGACTTCTCCTAAAATCTTAAAGGTTCACAAATCAAACAAGCAGCAGCTGTCCTCAGCATGCTCTGTACCTCTTGCTAAGCAACCCTAAGCCTGACACAAGGGATGACTAATCTCAACTTGCATTTGGCTGGCCTCAGCTCAAATCATGGTCTCCACCAAAGGGTCCCAAGCCTGACACTACTGACAGTGGCATTGGTTTGCTGCATAGTCTCTCCCAAGCACCTCCAAGTCTGGCACAAGCATCAACCAACTGCAGATCACTTTGTAGCTTTGACCAGGTGGCCCCAAGCCACTGGAGTCTGACCTTGGCCTGCAGTGGAGCTCCTCCTAAGAGGCTTCAAAACCAACACAACTGGTGACCAACTTCAGACCACACCAGAGCATCACCCAACCAGCTCCACAAAAGACACACCCAAAGGGTGAACTTAGCTGGCACCACAGCCCACCTGAAGAGACTCCCTCTCTATGGGATAAGCCTCTACACGGCAGCTTTCCGTAGTCATAGCTAATCCTCACAGCAAGTAAGCCAGGCGGGCAATCCCACCCATTGATGTGCCAATAGCAATCAGGGCTCAACTACCACAGGAAGGCACACATAACCCACAAAAGGGATGCCCCTGGAGCACCTGGCTTAGGTGAACAGAAGGACTGCACCATGGGGCCTCAGAGAACATCTACTATATAAAGCTACTCTGCCAAGACTGGGAGACATAGCAGATCTACCTAATACATAGAAATATAAGGATTCAAACAAATGAGGAGCCAAGCATTTCCCAAATGAAAACATAAAAAAGAGCAACAAAATGGAGAAAGCAATCTGCCAGATAAAGAGTTCAAAACAGTGGTTGGCTATAGAATGCTCAATGAACTTAGAAGAAGAATAGATGAACTCAGTGAGAACCTCAACAAAGAGAAGGAAACCATAAAAAAATGAATAATAACTGAAATGACTACATTAGAGGGAATCAACAGCAGGTTATAAGAAGCAGAGGATTGAATCAGCGATCTGGAAGATAAAGTAGCAGAAAACACCCAATTGGAACAGAAAAATAATTTTTTTTTTTAACGAGGACAGTTTAAGGTACCTCTGGGACAACATCAAGTGTATCAACATTCACATCATAGGGGTGCCAGAAGAAGAAGAAAAAGAAAACGAGGGGCTGAGAACCTATTTGAAGAAATGATGACTGAAAACTTTTCTCACCTGGCAAAGGAAATAGACAAGCCCAGGAAGCACAGAGTCCCAAATAAGATGAACCCAAAGAAACCCACAGCAAGACATAATTAAAATGCCAAAGGTTAAAGACAAAGAATCGTAAAAGTAGCAGGAGAAAAGCAGTTATGTATCAGGGAACTCCTATAAGACTGTCAGGTGATTTCTCAACAGAAATGTTGCAGGCCAGAAGGGATTGGCTTGAATATTCAAATTGATGAATGGCAAAGACGTACAACAAAGGTTGCTCTACCCAGCGAGTCTGTCATTTAGAATCAAAGGAGAGAGAGTTTCCCAGACAAGAAATAGCTAAAGGAGTTCATCACTATTAAACCAGTTGAAATACTGGTTTAATAGAAATAGAAATGTCCAAAGGACTTCTTTAAGTAGAAAAGAAAAGATCAAAACTATGAATAAGAAAATACAGGAAAGAAAATTCTCACAAAGGCAAATGTAGTAAAAGCAGTGGATCAATCAACTGTTGAGGTTCTCACTGAGTTAATCTATTCTAAATAGAAAGGTTAAAAGGAAAAAGTACAGAGACCATGTTTAATTAAATTATACATAAATACACACAGAAGAAGTAAAAAAGAATGACAAAGACAAACATGGAGGGGAAGAGTAAAAATTGTAGTGATTTTAGAACATGCTCGAACTTAAGGAACCATCAACTTAAAATAGACTGCTCTAGCCCAGCCAGCATGGCTCAGCATGGCTCAGGAGGTCACTGTTCTATTCCCAGTCAGGGCATGTACCCAGGTTGTGGGCTCAATCCCCAGTGTGGGGCATGCAGAAGGCAGCCAATCAATGATTCTCTCATAATTGATGTTTCTATCTCCCTTCCTCTCTGAAATCAATAAAAATATATTCTAAAAAAAATAGGCTGCTATAAATATAGTTTGGTAAATATGAAGCATATGGTAACCGCAAAGCAAAAATCTCTAAGAAATATACAAGAAATGAAGAGAGGGATCCAAACACAACACTAGCAAGTTATCAGTGTACAAGAAAAGAACCAGAGAACTTCAAAAACAATCAGAAGACAACAAAATGGCAATAACGACATACCTTTCAATAATTACTTTATATGACCCAGCAACTTCACTCCTGAGTATTTACCCAAAGAGATTCAAAACACTCATCTGAAAAAGACATGTGCACACATGTTCATTACAATCTTATTTACAGTAGCCAAGATATGGAAGCAACCTAAGTGTCCATCTATAGATGAGTGGATAAAAAAGAATGGTACATATGTACAGTGGAATGTTACTCAGCCATAAAAAATGAAATCTTGCCACTTGCAACAACATGGATGGACCTAAAGGGTATTCTGCTAAGTGAAATAAGTCAGACAAAAGGACAAATACCATATGATTTCAGTTATATGTGGAATCTCAAAAGCAAATGAACAAACAAAACAAACTAATAGAACAAATTTATAGTTGCCAGATGGGAGGGGGTTTGAGGAGAGAGGTGAAAAAGGTGAAGGGATTAAGAAGCACAAATTGGCAGTTATAAAAATAGTCCCAGGGATGTAAAATACAGCATAGGGAATAGAGTTAATAATATTGTAATAACTACATATTATGTGAGTTGGGTACTCAATTTATCAGGGTGATGACTTTGTAAGGTATATAAATGTCTAATATGTTGTACACCTGAAATTAACATAGTATCATATGTCAACTGTAATTGAAACACTTTTTAAAAAAATTAAATGCACATTCAGTCTGGAGAAAAAGAAAACTCTCTAGGCATGCAAAGAAAGGAAATTGTGATACATAACCAGGAGGAAAGTCATCGAGAGAAACAGCCCACAAACAATGGGAATTATCAGGCAAGGAATATTTAAACAGCTATTACAAATATGTTCCATGTGCCCAAGAATGTAGACTATAAAATGATTTAATGATTAAATCACTAAAATGATTTTTAAAAGAACTTTGAAAAATATAACATGATGTTAGCTACAGACCTATTTATTTGTCTCTCCATTTTGCATATAATACATAATTAACTTACACAGGTTTCTTTGTACTTCTAAAAAATGCCACATTATTCTGGCTTCCAGTTTGTGGGTTCCTAGGTTATATATATATAATGGATTTCAAAGGGCCAATTTATGGTATGTAAGCCTTCTTTACTTCAAATCATAATCTTTGTTTCTATTAGAACAAAATAATGAGCTGCAGATGGGTTCCTTTCAAAAGGACTTTTTAAAAATATATACATAATCTGGCTGATTAAATTTTATACGTAGGGGACTGAGACTGGGAAGGTGTGGGGTGGTGTTCCAGAAACTCATTTTTACACTTTTTTGCTCCCTAGGCAAGAAAAGTCTCGTTGGGAAGTCCTCCAACAAGAACAGCGGCTAATGGAAGAGAAAAATAAACGTAAGAAAGCTCTTTTGGCTAAAGCTATTGCGGAAAGGTGAGGCACCTGAACCAGAGGACATGGTTTGCAATCTGCAGTCAGCTCTGTCATGTTTTATATTTATTTTCCTATGTCTATGCTAATAAACTGACATTTTCTTTAAGGCTGATTAAACAAATTATGCTTTATAAATGATACTGAAGTCATTTAAGGATAGATCATAGCAAATTTACTGGTAATACAGGTACAATTAAAACTTAAGGATCGGTGTCAGTGCTTTCAGTTTTAACCATCTATACATTCATAAGGGAGCAGTAAATAGCTGTCAATATAAGTAAATTAAGAAATGCAAGTTTTCATTTTGACATGAGGGGGCCTTTATCATCTAACATGTAGAGGAGCAGATTGTTCCATATAAATGTTCTATACTCCCACAAATCTTATGTTTCCTATGGACGTTTTTCTTAAATAATTATTCTGCCCCCACTGATAGAAGATACATGATATAATTTAAGCTTTTATTGATGACTTGGGTCACCATTGGGAGCACTGTCCCATACTGTGTGCAGTTCAGTTTTTCTCTCACCTTCCAATGTTAGTGTGTCCAAAATCCCCCACCCTTTTTTTTACTGTGTTGTGCTGGCCTCAAACAAGAACATTCCCATTGGAACTGCTTTTCCCATCCCTCACCCACTCTTTCTGCCCTTTTATTATTTTTTATTTTTAAATTTTTTTTGGTTAATCCTCGCCCGAGGGTATTTTTTCCATTGGTTTTCAGAGAGAGTAGAAAGGAGGGAGGGAGGGGGAAAGAGGGGGGGGGGAGAGAAAGAGAGAGAATGAATCATCCATGTGAGAAAGACACATCAATTGGTTACCTCCTGTACATGCTCCAACTGGGACTGGGGATTGAACCTGCAACCCAGGTACATGCCCTTGACTGAAAATCGAATGTGCAACGTTTTGGTGCACAGGCTGATGCTTTAACCACTGAGCAACACCAGCCAGGGCTCTTTTCTTGCAATATGTGGTTTTATGTGGGAGTTTTATTATCCTGTGAAATGTGTGTGAAATTTTGAAATGAGTGAAATCATTATTAAAGGTTGGCTTTTGTCTTTGTTTTGTTTTTTAAGTTTGTAATGTACTTGGGGGTGGTGAGGGGACTGAGAGATGGTGAGGCTGGATATGCTTTTAAACAAGAAAAAAAACTGCTTGGCTTTGAGACGCAGAAAGAAAAATTTTGAGGACCTGTAGTTTTACGTAAAGAACAGGAATCAAAGCAATAACAGTTTGGGGAAATGAGTCCTAAGAAAGTTAAAACCAAATAGATGTTTCTAGACAAATAAATCATGTTTGATGCAGGCATCTGTTCTTGGTTTCCAGGTATCCAATGAAAATGGGCTAGAGATTTGAAGAGTTGTGTTCAATGCTTCAATGTAAAGAGAATACAGATATATTCTTTTAGTGCATATTCTCATCCTTATGGAATGAGTATGCCTATGAACTATTTATTGATAAATTTTTCAGTCTTTTCCCCTGTATATGAAAATCATCTATAATAATAAAAGCATAATATGCAAATTAGACCGGACAGCCAAATGTCCTTATAGACGACCTTCCGAATGAAGCCGGGGCTGAGAGAGCCAAGCCCCTTGCAAGAATTTCGTGCATCAGGCCTCTAGTACATGCTAATAGAAAATTTGGAACAATACGGAGAAGAAGCGCAAATCTTAGCGATACACCAAAATGTTACGGGCATTTGACTTATTTCTATTTTTCTTATATTATCTAATTTTTAAAAATTATACATTATATTCATATTGTAAATACAGTAGCTTGTTTTTTTCATTTACATTGTATATGGATATATGGTTTTAGAATGTTTTTATTTTCCCACTCATGTTCCTAATTTTCTAGATCTAAAAGAACTCAGGCAGAGACCGTGAAACTGAAGCGGATCCAGAAGGAGTTACAGGCTTTAGATGACATGGTGTCAGCTGACATTGGAATTCTCAGGAACCGGATTGACCAGGCTAGCCTGGACTATTCAAATGCTCGGTGAGTTGGAGAAATTTGATTCAGAACAAGCAGTTCGATTTAATTAATGTGTATTGCTAGCTGGGTCAGGACCTTATGTTTATCATTCGTTTAAGCCTCATAACCACCGCATTAAGTGTTGTATTTATTCCTGGTTTGGAATAAGTAGTGTCAAGTGTGTCTCCTCTTCTTGAAGTCTTCCTTTACTTTGCCCTACCCCTTAACCTTCTTCATATTCCCTTTAGATTATTTCCTGCATTGTTTATTTACATTTTAGTCTTTCTTACTAAAGCATCGGGTATTTAATGTTCGAGACTCTTTAAATATCTGAATGACTTGCCCCCAAATTATAATTCTAATGCCAACTCTATGGTTTTTCTGTTAAGAAATTTTGATTGAGGTTCTCCTTAGGGATTAGCCTAGTTCTCATTTCAGTTTTCATTAAAGAAACATCTAGTTTATTTGTTAAAGCCTATGAGTATTTAAAGAAAATACCACTGTCTTGAAAGCTGGAAGTTTTTTCTTTCCAATTCTATTCTGTATAAAATGGTTTGCTATCGTGTGTTTCCTTGGTTTCAGCCATTGGCATTTTTTAAGAGAAAAAAATCATCATGGAGTATTTTTAAAATGAACTAACACATGTAAAGAATTACATGAACTTTGCAAGCAGATAAAAAGGCAAAAAATTAAGTCCAATTTCAGGGTTTTCAGTCCTTTCAACATTGCTTTAATCATCCTGGTTTGTCTTTTTTCACAAGGGAATGCTGTGTTAATGACTCCGTTTTGCATCTTTCTCTGTAACACTAGAAATCAATCAGAATGCCTCATTAGTCCAGGGTAAACCACAGCATCAGAATGTTTATATAACAATTTAATAAAGCGGAAATGCTTGATTGTGGTTTTTAATTCACTGTTTATTATTTAAGAAAGAGGTTTGTGGTGTCCTCATGATTTTTGTAATTGTTGTTTGACCATGTGCTGTTAGATTTAATGGGTTGCCTAAATTAATGCCATCAGTAGCTGATAACTAGAAGTTCCAGATTTCTACTAATAAGGTCATTAAGGAGGTGACCAAGATTTTATTAAGATCAAACTAAGCCTAGATGTTTAGCACATTTTATTCTCTGTAACTTAAGGTTGCCAGAGGAATTTTTTTTTTGCCTTTATTGCCTTTTATATGAATAATTCAGATTATTCTGGATACTTCAACAGAAAATTTATCTGATTATGTTTTAATTCTGACCTAGAGGAGGCTGGAAAAGGATGCCTTTGTACACTGAACATTATATTTTTAAAATTTCATAGTTTTAGCCTTCAGAGAACCACAAAGAAGGTGGAATTACAGGTTAAAGGAGGAAACAGCCCATAAAATTGAAATATTTATAATGAAATTTCAGTAAATTTTTACAAAATAAAAAAATTTTACATGGTGCATTTTTTACATCTCTTAACAAGCTCAAAATGATAATTTCTTAAGGTACTGATAATGACATCATTGTATGTAAATATCCATATTGCATGTGTGAGGCTATTTTTTAAAATCTTATTAACAATTGTGACCAGAACCAGCATTGTATCTTGTTCATTAAGACATTTTCTAAATTTATGTCTCTGGTTATTGAGAAATTATAGAATGGTAATATACTATTATGGTCTAGATTTCTACTAATCCCCAGGTAGTCCATTTATTTGGGAGATTTTCCTTGACTTTAAAAAAATATATACGGGTTAGTTCTCTAGTGCCTGGTACAGTGCTGTGTCCACAAAGGTTCTGGGATACTGAATAGGCCAGAGTTCACTGTGGAATTGGCTTCTGTAGAACACCATCAGGGCAAACACTTTTGAGTGAGCCAACTTGAGCATTGCTGCTGTGCTGCTGCTGCTGCTGCTGCTGCTGGCAGCAACAATGACAGTGCTGCCATATGCTGTGCAGACCAGCTTGTAAAACTCAGAGTGGCTGCATGTAGAACATTTCTTTAACCCTCAATATACCAGGAAAAACAATTATCACTATTTGCCACCTCTGTTTCACAGACGCTCCCCCACACACGTGTACACACACATGCACATGCATGTATAATTTTAAGTCATTTTATGAGTAATCAACAGAAGTGAGACTAAAAGGGATTGTGGAAAACAGCTTCATTAAAAATTGTAATAAGAACCTAAGCATCATAAACCTCATTGTATCAAGTAATGTTTGACTCCAAAACTTATTTTTTTAAAAAAGGAAAGAATGCAGCTATAGCCTCCCAGCAATACAGGATGGTCCAGATTCTTGTAAAATATGGATTGATTAAGTTCTTCCTATTGAAACTATTAACTATGAAAAATAACATTTTCTTTTTATCCTCTTTTCACTCATTGATTTGTGAGTTTGAGAACATTCATCTAGGATGTGTTTTTCTGAAGACATACTCTGAGATGTCACATATATGAACAGTGTCACCATCTAGAATCTAGACCAGCCGTGGGCAAACTACGGCCCGCGGGCCGGATCCGGCCCGTTTGAAATGAATCAAACTAAAAAAAAAAAAGACCGTACCCTTTTATGTAATGATGTTTACTTTGAATTTATATTAGTTCACACAAACACTCCATCCATGCTTTTGTTCCGGCCCTCCGGTCCAGTTTAAGAACCCATTGTGGCCCTCGAGTCAAAAAGTTTGCCCACCCCTGATCTAGACTGACTGTATGTGCATTTGTGTTGGTTAACTAGGGCTGCTATAACAGGTTACTACCAACTGGGTGTCTTAAAACAAGAGCAATATACTCTTACATTTTCTGGAAGCCAGCTTCTGAAATCAAGGTATTGGCCGGGTCACACTTCCTTCAGAGACTCTAGATTTTGGAGATTAGGAAGAGAATATCTTTGTGGGATCACTTTTTAGCCTACCACAACATTTATATTTTGACCTAATAAATGCAAAATGTTTTCATCTGTCAATTTTCTCTACTTTGCCAATAGCACAGAGAATAAAAAAAATACTAATTCTCAACTGTGTTCAATGAAAGCTAGAGCAGATTACAAAACTGGGGTTTCCAGTCTTTTATACTTTCTTGAAAGATGATGTAAAACTTTGGACAAAGCAGTAAGGAAATTGAACCATAATGATTTATTTCATTATAGCACCATCCTTTTAGGTCATTTCACCAGTCTCTTTTTTCTTATTATTTTAATTTGTTAGCATAAATGGGAATAATTGGTAAGAAGGAAATACGACATAGGGTGATGAAATGGCAAAATGTTAAAAAAATAATATCTCAACGATCTGGTAAAGTAACCTAGATTTATAAAAGGATCCAATGGACCTATGTAGTAATTGCAAAATATGATTAGTCTTACTCTATTTTTTTTAAATATAAATATATTTTCTCTTTGTTCTCTAGAGGACTTCTAATACAGGACTTTAAAAATCATGATATGTTGATGCTTACAAATAGTTATAATTGCTAATAAAAGAAACAGAAAAACTAAAAGTGGATCAGTGGAACCTAATGGCATGCCACGGGTTAATGATTGAGTTGTTGTTGTTGTTGTTGTTTTAATTTCAGGGATACCAAAGCCAAGACACAGTTTCTAGAATCCTTTAAATAACAATTAAATCATTCAATGTCCCTTTAAAATAACAAACTAAATCTATAATTACATTTCAGCTGAATTTCTCTTACTGTGTTATATATAATGCACTTACTATTCTGTTCCAAAGTGTGTCTTCAGGCTGATGTGGTACATCCACCTGACCCCCAGGCCCATATTGCAGTTTGTAAAACTAATCAATACTTTAAACATAAATCACTCTGTACAAGAATATATATGCATGTTTCTGGCCAGAAGGACTTAAATAAATAAACAAAATGCAGGATCTTCAGTGATTTATCCAGGGTGAAAGATTAATGGAAACCTAGGTAACTATTTGCAAATTTTCATTTCAATTCAGCATTCATGAGCCCGGGTCAGTAAATCTTTCCTGGCTGACTTTGACTGGCTGAGGGCGACCACAGCCTTGCAGAGAAGGGAGGATTGAGTGGGGGGGAAGGGGCGAGGTAGTCATAGACCTATAGAGAGTGTTGTTAGAGTATTTATGTTTGATGCCAGAACATTCACAAACAGGATATGTTATACAGTATGGCAATCAGGGATCCAAATATCCAACAGAGCTCCTTTAGCACAATTCTCTTAACACAGAGGGTAATGGAAAAACAGTTTTCCCATTCCCATGTTTACTAGAGGACAGTAAAAAAAAAAAGAAAAGAAATATTATAAATAAATGTTATGTAAGTTAGAGTTTTCAAGTATAAGCACCAGATCCTTACATTTTGCATCGTTTTCATTTGAGATATATGTTCAGTGAGATACTGACAGTGCTTTTTGAGTCTGGTGCTCCGGAGGGGAAGTTCTGTTTCTTGAGTACCTACCAGCCCCTAGACCAGACACTTGCCCTACTCCCATTACTTAATCCTTAATGCTCCTATGAAGTACTATTATCACCATTTTACAGATAAAACAGAACTCAATTGAAGGAAACTACCTCGGGTCACTCCACTGGATTTTTAGTCATTGCGTGCTTCGTCTCCAACCCCTCCCCCAGGAGCCTGGCTGTGTTTTATACTCATGATGCTGACCCTGGGCCATCTCTGATTAGAACAAAGACAAGCTACCAACTCCAAAACATTTCATCTATAAGCTACTAGTAAACAAGGGTTCAGAGCATGGCCTGGTACTATGAGCTCTGTGAAGAACAGAGACCCGTTCCAACTAGCTCAGGTAAAAAGTGGGTTTTGTTATTTTATAGGTTACAGGAGGGTGTCTCACAGGCATGTGATCATAGTCAAAGGCTCTCCTCTTCAATGCTCAGACACCACAGTTTCTCTAAAGCATTTCGGCTTTTCCTACTATACTCACCACCCAATATTGCCACCAGCTGTGGCTCTATATCAGATCCACACCCACTCCCCCCACTCTATCAGAGTTCCAAAATTCCAGAGGGAGGACCTAAGTTGGCTTTTTACCTGAGCTAGTTTGACTGGGTCTCTCTTCTTCACACCCAAGAAAAAAACAAGTATACATTTAGCAAATGGCAAAGGCAGGTTTAGAACTCCGGGTTTTCTACAATCAAAGCCTTTTATTTTTTCGCTATCTCTTCTTCCAAGACAGAGAATCTTGAGTTAGGAGATACAAGTATTTCTTTTTTGCTATAATTCTAGGACTAGAAATTACTTATTACATTGAGTTGTATAGGCAATCATAAGACAGCATAGCCTTCACAACTGTTAGTGGAAATTAAATGGAATAATTACTTGGTAAGTGGAGATCACTCTTTTCTTGGCAAAAATAAAAGCAGCAAATTATATAGAAAAGTCAAAACACAGTGAACCAATATATAAGGGGAAATAAAGGGAAATCGCAGGATGACTTTCCCAGTAGAATTACCTTACTTCAAGTAAGACTGGAGTTTACATATCTGACATTTATAAAATCTTCTATATAATAAAACCCTAATATGCAAATCGACCGAACAGCAGCAGAACAACTGGTGGAATGACCGGTCGCTATGATGCACACTGACCACTAGGGGGCAGACGCTCAACACAGGAGCTGCCCCGTGGGGATTGGGTCTAAACCAGCAGTATGACATCTTCTGAAGGGTTCCTGGATTGTGAGAGGGCGCAGGCCAGACATAGGGACTCCCCCCCCCCCCCGTGTAAGAATTTTGTGCACCGGGCCTCTAGTTTCCTAATAAAAGTCTGATAACACTGTTGTTGCAGAATGGAGAGGGTAAGAATAACTTAACCCAGGAATTCTCAAATGGGACATTTTTGCCCTTTGGAGAAGATGTGGAGACATTTGGTAATGTTCTGGAGACATTTTTGGTTATCACAACTAGAGGGTGCTACTGGCAGCTGGTGGGAGAAAGCCCGTGATGCTATGCTTCCTACAATGTCTAGGACAGCTCCCCACAACAAAGAATTACATGGTTCAAGTTGCCAGGAGTGCCAATGTTGAGAAACCCTTCCCAAACATATCCTGAGGTTTTCTTTCCTACTGGATGTTTACTTTTTGCCTGCACCCAGTATCATTTGCTTGGTGTGCCCTGTCCCATTTATATTCATTTCCCAACCACTGTCCATATCCTTCTCCACCAAAATTTTTCTTCCTTTTTTAATCCATTAATCAAAAGATACAGATTTCTCAACAACAAAAATCTGATTAAAAATGGGCAAAGGGCTCTAGCTGGTTTGGCTCAGTGGATAGAGCTTTGGTCTGCAGACCAAAGGGTCCTGAGTTAGATTCTGGTTAAGGGCACGTACCTCGGTTGCAGGCTCCTCCCTGGCCCAGGTCCTGGTCATGGCATGTGCAGGAGGCAACCAATTGATGTGTTTCTCTCATATTGATGTTTCTCTCTGTCTTTCCCTCTTTCTCCCACTCTCTCTAAAATCAATGGAAAAATATCCTCGGGTGAGGTTTAAAAAAAAAAATAGGCAGAGGACCTGAATAAACACTTTTCCAAGAAAGACATACAGGGGGCTAACATATATATGAAAAGGTGCTCAACATCACTAGTTATAAGGGGAATGCAAGTCAAAACCACAATGAAATACCACCTCATACCTGTTAAAATGGCTATTATCAATAAGACAAGAAATAACAAGTTTTGGAGAAGATGTGGAGAAATAGGAACCCTTGCACACTGCTGTGGGGATGTAAATTGGTACAGCCACTGTGAAAAACCTCCACTCTGGAGGTTTCTCAAAAAATTAAGAATAGAGCTATCTTATGATTCAGTGATCCCTTTTCTGCGTACCTTCCCTCAAATTTGAAAACACTGGTAAAGCTTTATGTACCCCTATGATCATTGCAGCATTATTCATAGTAGCTCACTGTCTTTTGACTTTTCTATATAATTTGTTGCTTTTTTTTTTTCATAAAACAACCTAAGTTGGATGATTGGATAAAGTAGATGTGGTACATATATACAATGGAATACTCCCCAGTCATTAAAAAGCTGAATTATTACCATTTGTGACAACATGATGGATCTTGAAAATATCCTAAGTGAAATAAGTCCCACGGAAAAGACAAGAACCATATAACTTCACTCTATGTAGGATATAAAACAAAAAGCAACCAATGAACAAAAAACTCAGATATAGACAGAATGGTGTTTACTAGAGGAGAAGGGAGCTGGAGAGAGGTAGAAGGAGCTAAAGGGGGTTAAATATATGGTGACAGAAGGAGACTAGACTTCAGGTGGTGAGTACAAGTAAAGTACGCAGATGTATTATAAAGTACACCCGAAACTAAGATAATGTGATTATTAACCAATGTCACCCTGATAAATTTAATTAATAGAGATTCTTTCGCCATCTTTTACTGTTTTACCACTTATAAATTTGACCAGTTGTGTGCTGGAGCTAGTTCATGAGAGCAGATTTTGTGCATCCCCTCCCCCCTTCCACATTCAGTTATATTGTAGCTTGAAATTGGTCAAGGTGTAGTGTTTACACTATGGAAGTTGACAAACACTACAAATCAGGACTTATCCCCTTTAGAGCTAGCATACCACTGAGTTCACCCTCTTCGCCTGCTTTCATTCAAGCACAGCTTTGGAAAGAGGCAATGAGTGCAGAAGAATGTTGATCTATAGGAGAGTCCAAGTGTGGATGTTACGGAAGTTTCAGCAGCAACAGTCCAGTTTGTCCAACATGTAGACAAGAGTTCATACAGTATTAATAGTCATATCTTCATTATACCTTGTTACCAAATTCTGGAGCTCATTTATTGCTGCTCGGCCCTCTGTCTACTATGGAAAACTAATGGACCAATCTTTGTACCTGTCCCTACAGGAAGCGGTTTGACAAGGCAGAAGCAGAGTATGTTACAGCCAAGCTCGATCTACAGCGCAAGACTGATACTAAAGAGCAGCTCACTGAGCACCTTTGTACAATCATACAGCAAAACGAGCTCCGCAAGGCCAAGAAGTTGGAGGAGTTGATGCAGCAACTGGATGTCCAAGCTGATGAGGAGACTTTGGAGCTGGAGGTGGAGGTGGAGAGACTACTGCATGAACAAGAGGCAGAAGCAGGGAAACAGAAGGTTCATGCAGAGAGGCCATTTCAGCCTTCCGGGGAGAGTGTGACATTAGGGTCTACTCAGAACAAAGAGCATCAAGCACCAACTGCTTGCCCAGAGGTAGATGAACAGTGTGAAAATCCCAAGAGCACTCCCCTTCTCACTCCAGACCACCCAAGTCAGGACGTGAAGACTAGTGCTCATGACAACGGTTCAGCCGCTCTGACCACATGAAGGGCCAGGGTTTGTTGTTTTCAGCTAATATGGGCTTCAGTAGACTTTCTGTTGTAGAGTGTGCCATGACCGCTGCTAAATGCCTCTTTAAAACAATATTAGTTTTTTAATCTAGGATTAGTGTTAGAAATAACATGTTGGACCATTCTAAAGCCTCAAATAATTATAATTTTATCCAGAGTTCACCTTGATTTTGGTCCAGTTTCCTTAGTGTCCCCTTATTTTGGGTGAAAACAAGTAACTTAAAGAATAGAAGAAAAATTACATGGTTATGAGTGTTTTCAGACCAGGTCAATATAGAACAAGTAAAATGAAAAATGATAATACCTCATCAAACTCATTTAACTTCTGGGAGAAGTGCTGGGACTGAGAATCCTGTTTTATGTCATCAGTAAAGAGACACAAAATTTAAACATGAAAAAGAAAACAAACAACTAACAAAAGTAGTATTTGGGTCTTACTAGATTATTATCTGTTTGGGTCTTACTAAAATTGCAAAACACAGTTTTGAAATTACCAGCTTAAGCCAACATTACTTTTGTATTCACATTGCCTTTTAAGTGGCTCTAGTTTACAACCCGAATTTTGGTTGACATATACACAAATA